GAAATAAAGTAACAAATTCAGTGTGGCTAACTTTGAGATACATTGTCAATGTATTGTGTCACTTCTTCAACCATTCTAGCAACAACCCCCCCCCCCCCCCAAATAAATAAATCGCGCCGCCACCGCCAATTGTAGTCCTCATTCTTATTTCCTGCACAGTCTAGGGAACGATCTGGGAGTCCGAAGAACGGCTAATAGTGGTTTATGCTCATCATGTCAGCATACTATAAAAATATATGTAAAAAAAAAAAACATGGACATGTTTTTTGTAATGATGATTAAATGTGATTTACTGTTGATATTTTAACGTGGCCGATAATTTTTTTAAACAATTTTAATTTCAACTTATAACAATTTAACTACAATTTAATGCTTTATAAATCAATTAAATTTGTATTTGACACAGTTGAGGTCAGCTCTCTCTCAACAACCGTTAGATTTTCTCACATTTCCCATTCAGAAAATGTATTGCGCACCCCTCACAGTATGGGGCTGTGTGGTCAGCTGAATTGGCGTAGTTCTCTAGAGCAGCGGTCTGGCTTTGATCCCAAACCCTGTTTGCAACACACATACGTTCCACCTCGACCATGAAGTCCACCAGCTCGATGCGCGCCACCTTGGTGTCCCCGTGCTGTGAGTGTTGCCCTTTGCAGGGAAGATGATAAGGTTACTTGTGTGTTAAGCTTCAGCTGCGGATCACCTCTGACCCACGGCCCATGTCACTCGAGTTGTCCGAGGACACTGTGCAGACCTCGTATCATCCTCTTCTTTCAGGCATTTGCATGAGCGTGTGTACAAGACAAAAAGGGGGGTGTAAAGATGCCTGCCATTTCAATCCAAACTGTAAGTTTACTGGTATTCATGAATGCTTGAATGCTTCTCTGTATCCAGAAAGGGAGGTTTAGTTTGTCGACGTGCTTACTTTTCAAACGGATGATTATTTTTAGCCCAAACACTAATAGACCACGTAGGCTTCTTAAATGCCCCGCTGTCCCATTTCAAGTCTGTTTAGATAAGGATCATAAGGAAGACCCACCAGGCCAAGCAAACACTTTTTTTTACCCTACATGGTGAATCCTTCTCTGTACAACTGTGTAGTTGAAGCAAAATGAATAGTGCTACTTCATGGATCCCACGTCACCACACACAGAACATAACCGCATTACACCATCCATTTGTTTACACTCTTCAAATGTGCCTCCACTAAAGGATTTGATGAGAGGACAGACTGATAAAACAGTGCTATGGATGACATTGAAAATGTCGGAAACAGATGGTCGGAGCCTTTATTGATAGGAAAAGTCAAGTGTGCTCGTGTTGATATGAGTATTTTCTCTTGTGGAACACCAAGGATGTCAGGTCATGGTGGGCTGGAAGCACGAATAACAACCCTGCTAAACATTGTGCTATTGAGAGATTTTCCATTCGCCAACATCCAGCTTTCACCCAGGAGCAAGCTAAAAGCCTCCTTGTCCTTAGTAACTTGCCCCATTTGCGCTAGGGGAAGTGACTTTGAAGCCCTCTTTTCCTGCCTCTCTGATCCACCCTGTAGTGAATGAAGAGGCTGTTCGGGTTGCAAGACAGACAGTTGTGTGTGTGTACACGCACACACACACACACACACGCACACGCACACACACACACACACACGCACACGCACACACACACACACACACACACATACACGCGCAAGCGAACGAACATACACACATGCATTCTTTGAGCATTATTTCATCCATACATTCTTTGTGGTAGACAAAACAATTTGGCAAACATCGGTTGTTCCAAGGATGTTCAACGCAGAACTGAGCTGAACATGAAATCAAAGAGTCAAGGTCAAAACGAAATAAAATTCAATCTGCATTGAAATTTTAACTGTAAATTTGACAGAAGTCACCAGGTGTCCTTATTTGAATTGCTTTATTCCATTTGAAATCCAAAATATGGCTCCGTAAAAACATTGAGCCAAATCAAAACATAAACCCATGTAGCGTTTATGCAGTTTGCTACAAAATACTGTGAACTACAGAAATGTACTGCATGTTTTTCAGAGACAGTTTGATGGCTTGGGCACGACCATGATTTGTGGTATGTTTGAGCTATGGTTTGAAGCCATGATTCCCACATGGCATTTTGAGGGTGAACCTCAATAATGAAACCATAGGAGCCACAGAGGTTCACCGTCTTGTGTATCACAGACTTCTGTTTGTTGATGCTCCTGGAACAGAGGTGGAAGAGGAGAGAGGCTCTGCTTGAAGTGTAAACTTCCCATCAGGTCCAGATGACGCACGCTCTGCTTTTGTGGTTAACCAAGGGCGGGACTGTGGGAGAATATGATAGACAGTACCTCCTAGTACTTTATTTTACTATTCAGGACCATCATTTTCTCTTATCCTATCACAAGAGTGGCTGCCTTTCCAGCATCTCCTATATTTTGTTCTTCTACTTCTTCCTTTCATAACTTTGCTGCTGTGAATTGGAATAAAGGATTTCTTATATTATCTTAAAAGGGCATCATGTCATTCATGCACACATCCAACATCACATTTTAATTTTACACACACTTTGATAGTTTCCATTAAGCATCAATGCTAAGTCATCTCTTTCAAAACAAAACAATTTTAATATGATATACTCATCTAATGAAAGGGTTCAGCAGTTTGGAAGTGTCGGTAGTGCATGAGCAGTATTCTCATCAAATCAGTCTACAACTGAAAGCGCAGAGTTAAAGAAGCATTTTCGAGGTGCAAATGCTCCAGTAAGATGTATGTGTGCTTGTCGCTGAAAAGTGCAACAAACAAACAAACAAATAAATAAATAATTCACGTCACAGAAGAGAAGTACAAACATTCTCAGTATTTGATGTTGTTTTGTGCACAGGAAAGCGTTTTTATTTTTTGTCTGACTGACGTTCTTTGTGATGGTAGCGCTCTGCAAGAGACGGGCTTTTCCTTTGTTTTGGAACGGGGAGTCAGCACATACGTACATTGGATTGTGCACAGAATGTGCGAGAAAGAGACACACAAAGAGCTGAGGTAACACTTGTGTAGGAGGCCTTTTTCCATTAGTCAGTGTTACTCCGACAGACTTTAATCACTCTGATTGACTGGATCAAATTGGCCAACACTTCACATTTTATGAACCTTTTGTGATTGGCTATAGTGCCTTAATTTGCCGATCAAATTCATGACGTCATTGATCATCTCTCAGAATTGTTTGACTTCAACTGTAGTGTTTCCCACGTAAACATTTTTACCTGTGGTGGGTCGCCACAAATGAATTTTCCCCCACGAATAGATTTTGGCGCTACCTGTCAAAATGTACACATTGTGTCAACTTTATTTTACTTAAACAGACTTGTTTCTCCTTCTTCTTGTGATTGTTTCGGTGAACAGTAACCAATAGAGGGAGACAGAACCGGAAGCCTGGCTGTTCGCTGTTTAGCGCCCCGACATCTTGGATGTGACCATAAGAGGGAAAAAAAAAACCCAGAGAGAAAGTTATTTTGGGAGCAGGTCATCAACAATTTCTCACAGCTTTCAAATTCAGCCGAATCCTCGATCATTTTTTCCAGGCTAGACGCCAACTAAGCAAAACCACACCCACTTGGCGATTGAGTTCGGTCAACGCATGAATCCAAGTGTTGAAACCTGATTGTGTGAATCCTAATTAAAACATTGATATGTTTTTGAAATAAGTACTTTACTGACGATTACAAAGGACTACTGGCTACTGACTGTCCAACACTGAAGCTTGCTAAACTGCACCAGGTAGCAATATGGCCAGTACGCATTCCACTTTAGCTCACATTGACCTTTTATGGAGAAATGCTAACGGTGGAGGTTGTCTACAGTTGACACAGAATTGCTACTTAAGGATGTCATGGTTGTTGATGAGGAGGTCTGTGCTAGAGCAGGGTATTTTGTATTAGGTCATTAAACCATATGAACAATGAAACGAACACCATGAGCATGACTTCACTTCGAGAGTAGCACAATCCAACGCATTTCCCAACAATTTAACATGACTGCTTCCTCATGACCTCTGACTCATACGTTTTTGTTCACTCTGACGTCAGTATATTACAAAACCTCATTGTATGACAAATATGAACATTGTTGCAAATGTCACAGGAACAGTGCCAAAGGACTTGATTGCATTGCAGTGCTTCAATTTATAACCCTCCATTTAAAAAAAGTTGACCTACTTTCAAAATAATTGGTCTGTTTGTAAAAAAAAAAAAAGCTTCCTGAGGAGGGGAACAGCTGCCGCAGTTTTGCGACAACTAAACCTGATTAAACAATGTTCATACGATTTCGATTCAGACGGAAAGCTGCCACAGCGGGTGCATTTGTATAATCAAATAAAGAGACGAAGGTAACGCGTGCTCTAGTTCATTTGAAAAGATGTACTTTCTTAGATTACATATACCCCTTTTGTTGGGAGAGGATAACAGCAATTAAAGCATTTCATATGAGAAGGGAATCCCGTTACGAGCCCGACTCTTATTTCAGCATATCCAAGGACCGCGGTATGATAATTAAATCTTTTATGTTGTTCCACTGCCATGAATGCTACGTATAAACTCTTGAGAACCAGTCCATTCCCACCACTGGCTCACAATATTAATTGTTTAGGGATTTCGGAGTATTACGATTGTCTCGTAAAAAGAAACTGCAAATCCTACATATTGTTTTGCGTATTAGTTTAGTTCCTTTGTGTGGATCTTAATGTTAACAAAAGTTTGAGTGAGTGTGCTGAGATGCTGGCCTATTTGACTCCGTCAGTGCCTTTCCACAAAATAAATAGATCCCCCTCATCTCCCGTGATCATATTAGGTGTGAAAATTGCTGTTTTTCTGAAAGTTATCGTCACTCGTAGTGGTGTGGTTATGCATACTACGCGTCCAATAATAATAATTGCTTGATGACATTTGGTTGCTTTTCTCAAAATGATTTAGCCATCATCCATTCCTTTTCTTCCTGTTTTCCCTTTCACAGGTGTTTTGTCACTGCCGGCCCATTTCAGTCCCTACACCGAGAATCATCAGGCATCTGTCGACTGCAGGGAGGATGCCTATGCCCAACTGGAGCTCAGGACGCTGGAACAGTCACTCCTAGCTACCTGTGTGGGCAGCATCTCCGAACTCAGTAAGTCATGTCTATGTAGCAAACTGATCCTCTTTGAAGCTGAGCAATAGCCCCGTTCACACAGCAACGTTTGGTCCGACGCAGCTCCGAAATAAATCCAGTCGAGCATTCACACGTGCACATTTGCTCCGGCGTAGCTCCACTAAAGAGCTTATACCGGACCAAATTTGATCCACCTCAGGGAGGTGTTTTAAAAATTTGCTCCAGAGCAAATGCTCGTTTGCGACGCTACGCTGAAGCAAATGTGCACGTGTGAACGCAGCTGGATTAAATTTGCTCCAGAGCAAATGCTCGCTTGCGGGGGAGTGGCCTCGCTACGCTCGCTACCAGACGCACGGAATCCGACCCCGGTCGACAGTGACGAGGGGGCCAGCGACACAGACGAAGCCCGGCCGTGGACCCCCGTCCCCGGTAAAAGTGTCGGCGATTTAAGCGGTGAAGACAGCGCTCACGATCAAGAAGAGGCTCAAGAAAGCAGTGACGTCAGCCGAGCCCGATTTGCAGGCCCGAGCCTGAAGCAAACCCGACATTTCATATTTTATTTGTGAGTATTTTGGGGAGAAAAAAACGCAAGATTTCTTACGGTTAAAATAATCTACATATTTTTATGAACATTATCAATGCATTTGCACAACGAAATAACGCTGAAATACAGAATAAGAGGCCAGACAAAGAGAAATCTCGATGTGTATTTGCTTAATTACGCAGAGAAATCCTGCGGCTTCCTAGGCTTTAAATAGAATAATTCAAATGAAATAAATAGGTAAAGATATCTGAAATTATTTCTACAGGATTGTTTAAACGAAATTAACTATACACGCGCACTGGTCTGGCCGGCCGCGCTCCTGTTTAGCAGTTAAATAGCACTTAAATTACAGCGCATTCTCTGTTTTATCCAAATTGTTTGTTTTAAAACAAGTATTCCTTAGTTTAGTATCCGCACATTGTTTTAGTACACATTTTTTAAAACATATATTGTGACAGTCATAAGGAGCACACACGATTGACTGTAAACACGTCTTTATTCCACGACTGCCGACAAGTGGATCTATTCTGAACAAGGACAGAATAGTGTCCGCCATAATATTTATTAAAAGAAAAATAAATAAAAGTCCGCGAGAGAGAAACCCGACCCGAACCTGTTTTACTTCCGCATTCCTGTCGTTTTGGTCCGGAGCAGAAATTGCACGTGTGACCGCAAGTGGAGCTGCTTCGACGCTGCGCCGGAGTTGTCACGCTCAGCGGCTTTGCACGTGTGACCGCTCCACAAAATTTGCTCCGGTGTAAAATATATCGCAACAAAATATTTCGGTGCAGCGTCGGACCAAATGTGTGCCGTGTGAACAGGGCTATAGACATATTGCAAAGCAGTGAAAATGTGACCAGCTATTTCATGTGTCTTACGTGCTGAAAATTGTAAAGGGCTGGACCCAGGACAGAAAGGAAGTCTTTGATCTGAAAAAGGATACTATGACATGCAACTTTTTCTATTGCTGTGTACGCCTCTATATTGCGATTGACTTACCACGGCCGTGCTACATTGCAGATTTCTTGGTGTAGAGTGTATCTACGTATCTATCGTGGACATTTTTATTATTTTGTTGTAAAAGCGCTATATAAATCAAGATGTATTGTATTTTATTGTATTGCACACATTTGTGGTTTATTGCGATTATTTTTTTATTGCAATGCCCTCACATCTGGGAAAGGAGAGTCGCAGTTGCCAATGCACTTTTCAGCCATTTATTGAATGCCAGGAGAATAGTCCAACACAAACACAACTACACTCATGCAAGAGCTGTTGTCCGCCACAGCTCACGCCGAAATACTCACACGCTGACTTGTGACATCATATGCCAATCCACCAGGCACCGCCTCTTAAAGGACACATATCCAACACATAGACATATGCACTTACAATGTGTTTAACAGTGTGTCCTAAAATGCTTACATTTGTTTAAATGCTGGAGAGAAGGGAGTCAGAATGGGGGTTTCTATTGTTTTGTTTTTTTAATTAGGTCTCTCTCTGTATTTTGTGGATTTTCACTTATTGGCAGTGGGTCTGGAATATATCCCCTGGCACGTTTTTAGAAAAAGCATCATGCCAGACCAATCTGTTGGTGATCTCAGTCAGGCACTGAATATGCCGATCCTCTTCGAAGCCTCGCTCCAGTCTTTTTGACATGTATCATCCGAGAAGTACGTACACATCAAGTCATAAATGTACTCGATTTTACATGTGGCTTGCCATGCGACAGGGAATGAAAGTGGGCTCGAAGTATTTCGAAGTTCTATTGAAAGAGTCATCCAACTGCAGGAACAAACAGGGTTGATGGAAGGTCGAGAAGGATTGTTTATGTACTGGATAAATGAACGTTTTGGTCTTGGTAAAGGATGCAAAGCTTGTTGTGAAAGGGGGAGAGCAATCGGGTCATAGAGATCGGTGTTGGTGCAAGTGCAGTTTATGTTTCCCCACCCAAACGAGGTAACACTTTGGCATTTGTTCCTCAAGCACAAGGCCACGTTCATACACCACTGCCGTTAGCCGGACATTAAGAACGTGAACACACGCTCTGTAACACACAAACACACAGTCTTTCTCCCACTTGCTCAGTGGGCTCTTTGTGCCACACCACTCTAGTGGTATGAATACGAGCTGCGATGGGCAGGACTGGCATGCTTCACACCATTTCATGCCTACAAAGACAAACAGACAGACAGGCAACGTGTTCACCGATATCTGTACACAACAAAAATAAAGGAGGAATTTGAGGCCATGTAGACCAAACAGACACGGCAGTATCTGTACTCGACTGCTCAGTCCTGTTGGATCTTCTTTCGAGTGGGTTTGGCATACTTAAAGAAGATGGAATCTGGATGGCAGGATTTCAGCGAAATTTACAAAACAGCTGGATGTGATTGGACAGGATAGAACATTTAAATATTTCTAAATATTTTAGCTGCAATTCAGTGGTGCCCCCAAAAGCAGTTTTACACTATGGCTCCTCAATTGAGTACATTTTCATCAGTTGTGTTCAAACATGTATGATATACTGTATTTAAAAAAAACGAACAACTCACTGAATTCACTGTAAAGGGTCTTGAAAGTAAGTAATACTGTATAGCAAATCCAGAATGCACTTTTTGCAATTATGTTGAAGGAGAAGAAAAAAAATATACATTTTCTAAATCTACATTTGAAAACTTTGTATTTTGTGCCCCAGTAACCTCACAGAGGTTGAGAACGAATCTCATATGTAAGAGTGAAATAAACCTTTTCATATGCATTTGACCCCTGACAGCTACTTTAGACCCCTGGGCGCAATATGGGTTGTAAAGCCGGAGAGAGGCTCTCGGTCTTGGGTATGAATTCCGAGGAGACCTCCTGGGTCGTATGCTGTTGATGGTTAACACAAAGGAGGCCCTTCAGCTTGAAGTGTGGGCTGTTTAGGTGGGCTAACGGTATCTAACCAAAACCCTTTAATGTGCCCCTATACACTGGACAACCCCCCAAAGCCCCAACCCCTGGGCTCCCCTACTCATGCTAATTGGCTTAGAAATTAGCCCTGCGGTAGTCCAACTAAATGAGCGCAACATCATACCAAGTTCAAATTGGCCTGTTTTATTCAGCTTTGTTCTTTCTCCCCCCCGCTCCACAAGTGCCCCCTCCTCATCTCCTTCCTTTGATGGCTGATAGTCTAGCCTCTGCTCTTTTCATCCAAAGCTCAAGCGAAAGCTCTCCAGGATAACAGCATCCCAAGCGTTTCCTGCTAAATTAAGATTTCTGTCATTCTGTTTGCGGATGTAAAGTTACGCTCGAGGGGATAACTTGCTCTTTATTGAAGAAACTGCCAACTCTATGCACACTTGCAGGATGAACTCATTCAAACACTGTTTCCCATTTGAAATGTTCCAAGTTTTGAGTGATACTAATGTGTCTCAATGTGTTCCACATTCACGAAAGTAATTTACGAACCCTCTTGATAGTATAAGTGGAATACTGTATCGTGATTACGTACCGTCATGTCGCATTCAGTACACACTTTGTTGGGGCCGGTAATCGATTTATCTGTTCCAGTACTGTATTAACTTCTTCAATGATTAAAGATAAATGACAATTTAGCCTTGCCCCTGGCTGTGCTTACCGCTAACGACGCCGCTAAAGATAGATAGTGCATTGGTGCGAGATTCATCAGAGCAGGGGTGTTAAATGTATTTGTGGAATTCCGGTTAGATTGGAAACCCACAAGGTTTACACTGATATCAAGTGACGGACACTTGTGTGAAGGCTCTGAACAACATTGGCCCAGTATAGCTGTGCTGAACGAGTAACCTATATTCTGCTTAAGAGCATAACTGTATATCTTCTCAATCATGTGATGTCATCATGTCCAATTACTGTTTTCCAGGTGACCTGGTATCCCGTGCAATGCACCACATGCAACGCCTGAGCTCAGTGCGTCCGGGTCTCAGTCCTGCCCGCCATTCACGCCCGCAGTCTGTGTCCTGGTCGCCTGACGCCCTCCATACCCTCTACTACTTCCTGCGATGCCCGCAAATGGAGTCGATGGAGAATCCCAATTTAGACCCCCCGCGTATGGCACTAAGCAAAGAGAGGTGAGAGCTTTCATTTCTTAACGTTAGATCACAGCTACAGAGCAATTCAGGCTTCTTTTGTCACGCTGAACCCTAATGATTTAGCACAACATTAATTATTTAAAGTGTAATTCACCACTGCCCCCCCCCAAAAAAGGTAATCAATTGCTGTAAATGTCTTGTAGCTGTTGTAGCTGTAGGAGATTGTTGTTTGACTTAATAATAGTTATAGTTTAGTGTTTTCACAGTGCTGAGAGTTCATTTATTTGTTATTGTTTTGTCTTATTATTATTATTATTATCTCACTTAAATAAAAAGAAGTGTGGCTCTAATGACATAACTTTGTGTGCAGTCAGTAAAAGTAACTGTACTTCATACAACTGAGTGTACATTATAAAATGAATACATGTGTGGGCATCCCAATACAGCTGTGTGATACACTTTGAAAGTACAGGTGACTAAAACCATTTGTCATGTGTAAAGGCTGCCAGACCTGAGTCCTCTTCAGACATTTTCATGAGCTGCGGGTTGGTTTTGATGAGGATATGGCAAACATGGCATCATCCATGTTAAACTTTTGTGATTAAATCAGCTATCACACATAAATCTGTCCAATAAGCCAGCCTGCTCCCACCAGTGCAAGTAATGATGACCAAACGCAGTGCTAGGGAGCAAAGGCACCTCATTACTGATCAAGGAAAACACTCCCGCTTAACTTGGACTTCTCTTGGCATGTGCTAGCAAACGTTGAGGATTTTTTTTTTTTTTAATGTTAGGTGTATTATTATCTGGGTTTGTATGCACAGAAGGAAGCCAGTCTATATTTTGTGACATCTGCTTCATTCACTTAGTGCTTGTGATATTGGCATAGAGGGCAGAACGGCCCAGGTGAAGGGGGCACAGCAGGGCATGGTTGCTTGTGATTACAATCCGAGCGCATGATGCAGACGATTGCCCAGTTCAACTTCAGTGGCTGCCTTAATGGAATCTTTGCTGGAAACCCCCAAGCCACCAAATCTGTGTGGGCCACATCATCAAGTATTATGTGGTGAGCCTTCTAATTGCAGAATCGCTACAGAAATGGGAGAGACTTTTCTAAGAACTGGAATCATAGCCAGTTTACACATCATATTGTGTCTCCCTTTTTTTTCTTCTTTTTTTTCTGGATTCACTAATCTACCTCCTATCAGTAATGATGAAGTCACATGCATTAGTCATTAATTCAGCTTGAATGCACGATTGTTTAGGATTGCATTGCATTTGATCACATTTCTTAGTTTTTGTTGTGGAATAAGTGAAAAGTGCAAATCACTCGACCACACTTTGAGATCTCTCCTCCACATACTACACCCTCCTCCGCCCTTTCAATGCAGTGGGTTCAGGGGAGCCGAAGGATAGATGCAGTGCAGCGATAAGATGTTAATGATGTATCATTGCAAGATATCAGATAGCGTTACAATCCTTCTATGGTTTCCTTACACGAGTAATCATATTCTAAATCAGTGGGTAAACATGACCACTTACAGCCCTCTGTGGGGCCCTGCATGCAGAACTCATTGAAAGTTACTTCAAACGAAGACTTCATTGTACTCGAGCCATTTCGGTCGGTGTAGTGTGTGCCGGTACCTCCTGATGAGTAAAGTATCTGAACTTTTCCAACAAAGCTGAAGAAAATTAGTAGCTTGTCAATCTATAGCTAGCCAGATTGTAGTGAAGAAGGTGCCGTGACTTGGAGCTAATATTTCTCTGTAAACAAATGGGTGAAAGTTACTCTATCCTGCTGGTCTCCGTATGAAGCCTGAGCACATTGGGTCAGTCAGCTCACCAGCAGGGCTATCCGGTTTCACTGTTAACAGGCACCCACACTTTAATGTTGCAACGACTTTTGACAAAGCTGGGTTTTGTGTTTCATCCTGTAGGGCATAACCCAGACCTGAAGTCAGATTTGGGCTTTTAATACTGAAGAAAGTAGAGGCAGATATAGAGATAATGACATGTTTTGGCTTTTTTTTTTTGTTGTTTTTTAAAAATGGATGCATGATAGCACGTTTTTTTTTTTTTGTTTGTGTTTGTTTTTTTTCTCCATAGATGCATGAGAGCAGCATCTGTAATGGTCGGTCAGGGGTAGAATTTAATACATTACACACACACCTACATCCTCTGCTTCTACCGATGGAGTGCGTTACTTTTATGCACTCCCTACACACTTGCACTCACAGCCACACACTGAATTATCAGTTGACAAAATCAATTCATCAACGGATATATCAAGTATTCTGAATGCTATGCATTGGCTTTGCATTAGTCCTTCCACAGTGTCTCTATGTCTTCTGCTGATGCTCTGCCTTCCTGTGGCTATTCGGAGGACAGACAATTGTGCGCGAGTGTACAGACAGCCGAACATGTTGAGAGCATCCCATTAAAAGAGGTTTGACAGTGAATTCTGGGGTGTTCTGCTCTGCATCTCTTCCCTGGAAACATGACTTTTTTATCACTCTCCACCAACGGCACGATAAGCAAAAGGACCACCCACCCCCGTTTCTTAATATAGACATGCAGCACCTGCCTCCTGGCCATTTCCCCAGCACTTGAGACAATCCCCGCAGGCTCCCAACACCCCGTTTGACCATCCATCTCTTCCTAATCCTACTCCTGCCACTTGCCTGGCCGTTAACATTACCACTTGGATGAGCTGTAAATGAGCTAAATGAAAGACATTTGAGCCTTTAAATGCACCTTGTGGGAAACGGCATTACTCTCCCCCTTGCTGACAGAAATGGCCTTCAGCAATAGCTTCTTACCGCATACCATCAATGTTCTGAGAAGGTTGACTGGCTAAAAATGCTTTACGTTGCATATTATTAATGGACAATATCACTGAGAAGATCAAATGCACAGTGACAGTAATGGTGTTTTCTGCACAGCAGTGACACATGCAATCCAATTCTCATGCTTTTATCTCCACCTGTATTCATTGTATGCATTGGGGGTTCTTCACATCTCCCGAAAAGAAAACTGAAGCTGTTTCTGTGAATGACATCCCAGTAGGGGTAATGCATCTTAGTGAGCCATGATAACACTGTTCAAATAATGATTAGCATTCTGTCTGACTGCTTAGCCAGATCAAAAGCAAACAAAAGGTTCTCACGGTGTTGGCCATTGTTCAATTGTTCAAACAGGCACAAGATGGTGGTGGTGGTGGGAGGGGTGGGTACAGAGCAGAAGGGACTGATAAAAATCAACAAGACAAGACATGGTCAATTCCTAAAGCGATTAGAAGAAGTACGAGGGAGAGAAACAAAGGGCAGAGGTGATGAGTCAATCAACCGATCCGAATGAGCACATTCCATAGCATCCTTTTCTACTGTTTTGTATTCTTGTACTTCGCTGTGATCAAAGTGACTTTTGTCAACTGCTGTCAGCTCTGGATCCTTTTTTTTTTTCTTCTGTCAGATCTATTTGTATACTTGAAATTCTTTTTTAGTCGCAGTTGATTCTCTTTGCTATGTCATTGGCGTCTGTTAGAGTCATGTGTTTTGAATCTATGGTGACTTCAAAGGTGAACGGTAAATGTATGACTGTGCATGTCTGCTGTATGGGAGGAAACAGAAGCTGTAAAGGGCGAGTCACGGTTCAGGGAAAGAGCAGCCAGACACACATACGTCATGGTGGAAGACGGTTTATGCGTTTCTTCTGAGTGTGTCTGAGTCACGATAAGTAAGCAAATCCTCCTTAGGCGCTGCATCTGATCCAGAAAAAAAAAAAAAACACGGTAAAAACAGTTTGTGAGTCCGGTTGTCAGTCATAAAATTGTGTCACATGTCAAAAGCACGATCGGTAATTGAAAAATCTCTTCTGCTTCAAAGGCCCTTCCTCTTGCTGCCGCCTCTGATGGAGTGGATCAGAGTGGCCATAGTCCATGCTGAACATCGTAAGAGTCTGCTGGTGGACACCGATGATGTCAGACAGACTGCCAGGTTGCTCCTTCCTGGACTGGACTGTGAACCCAGACAGCTTAAGTACGTGACAACCACAATTAGAACTACTTTCTGGAGCGTCTACTCTGCGCCTGGTCACATGAAGTGTCTCAGAAATAAATCCAGTATTGCTACCAATAGGGTACTGACAATTACTGCCAATGTAGGACTTGTCAACATCGAAATGAATAAATCCTAAACAGTATCTTTGTGCTGAGCATGCCTATTAAGATTTTGTCTGAAAATGTTGTCTCAAGACAAACAAAAAATGTCTGACATCTCTGAATTTGGCCTAGCACATTTCGGTATGTGACAAACTCGAGCACATTGCGCATTCCCCGCCGCCTGCTCAGCTGACAATTTGTCTCTTTTTTGTTCTCCTCGTCAGGCCCGAATGCTGCTTCAGCTCCTTCAAGCGTTTGGACTCCAAGGCAGCAACAGACAAGTTCCACCTAGATTTGGGCTTCCGGATGCTCAACTGCGGCCGCACGGATCTTATCGGCCAAGCCATCGACCTGTTGGGGCCCGATGGTGTCAACAGCATGGATGACCAGGTGCTGACCAGCCTTCTTTTGTTGTCATTTGAAGACAATTCCTGCGCTGCGAGGACAGCAACATTGATGTGGTTCTTTTCTTGTCTGCTCTCTCCACATCTCAGGGCATGACCCCTCTGATGTACGCATGTGCAGCTGGAGATGAGGCCCTCGTTCAGATGCTGATTGATGCTGGTGCCAACCTTGATGTGGCGGTAAACATTCTTGAAATTGATGTCGTCGCTACAAGTAAACAGAAGACACCGTGTTCAAATTATTGAACTCCACAAAAGATGAAGGATGTCCATAATAAAGCTGGAGCCTAGTCACACTCAAGTTAACATCCTTCACAGTTTCAAATCTTTCCTGAATCTACTGGAAATGTTTTTGGATTGTGGGAGGGAAGCACGGGCAGGACATGCAAATCTTCACAGACAGAGCCGAGCTGAGATTTATTGTGAGGCAGATGCGCTAACCACATACTCCGTCATGCCGTAGAAAACAAATGACATGGCTATAAAATACCAGCAGCAGCCACAACAACACAGGACTTTTTTGTGAATGACTTGGCAGAGAGAGCGTGATTAAACTAAAAATAAAACATCTTCTATTTCCATGATCTTTTTTTTCGTGCGTCTGATCTTAGTGTCTAACTCTGATTTGACAGATTCCGCCATGCTCCCCGAAGCACCCGTCTGTGCATCCTGACAGCCGTCACTGGGCGGCGCTCACCTTCGCCGTGCTGCACGGGCACATCTCAGTCGTGCAGGTAAGCAACAAACGCACACATTCTCGTGACTTTTGCGGGGTAAAGTGGTCGTCCTGGGTTTGATCCTCACAACGTTACAAAGTAGAAAGTACCTTCACGATAACAGCACGTTGTACTACAAAGTCCATCGTGAACTGTACACACAATGGTGGGAAGCCTTTCAAAAAGCACATTGACAAATGTTAGTTCAGTGTTCAGTGCATGAATGACATTGTTGAACGAAACACATGTGACGGGGTGTGTCTCTGCAGCTACTCTTGGATGCTGGGGCCAATGTGGAGGGAGCGGCAGTCCGGAATGGACAGGAGAACACGGCGGACACACCACTGCAGCTGGCTTCAGCAGCAGGTGGCTACACGCTCATACACACTCACACGTAAATAAGACTACCTAAGCCAAAAATGTCATTCAACTCTTCTCTGTTTGAATCAAATGTGCGGCCTATAGCTTACCATGTTGGACTAGATAACCAAATGTGAGCCAAAGCGTTCCCACAAACAACAGACTGTTTCATCATCATCATCAATCACACACATTGTTGTGTGCCATCACAGAGGGCGAGTACGCTATTTTGAGTAGTCAATGTAACACTGGACAGAGAAAATGAAAGGCTTAACGGAGGCTTAGCAAGAAAGAGGAGTGCTGCCTGCGGCTGTTTGCAGGCTTGGGGCAACATTCCTCTGCGGGATCCTTTGCGAGGCACAACAGGGCTGCAGGAGAGGACAGGCATGCGCCGCATAACCACGCTGACAGCGTGCGAAGAGTCCAATATGACTGTATTTGCTGCTTTCAAACCACAAGATGATCACATGACCATAATGATATTGAAGACAAGAGTTCCAAGATGTTGCCTTCACAAATAATGGTCAGCTTTGCATCAAGTGGTCATAGAAACGCCCAGATGGTGTACCAGGGCTCCTCCCACATATGCTTGAAATTCTTCAAATGATGCCATGCATCTGTTTAATTCACAACAAAATGGCCACCTGACTAAATACTATCCCCCCCCCCAAAGAAAAAGCATGAATATAGTTACAAATGTTTGGTTTCTTGTAGCGAGCTCTGTCTGGAAGTAACTGATTGCAACTCCCGGTCCATTGTGTCCAGGCAACTATGAGATGGTGACCTTGCTGCTGGCAAGAGGTGCTGACCCGTTGTCAAAGGCCCGTGACGGAAACGCGCTGACATCATCCCTCTACGAAGACATGAACTGCTTCAGTCACGCTGCAGCACATGGCCACAGGTAACTTGCCATGGCTCTGAAGAGAAAACATTAATATAGAAACATGGGATGTCAATTGTTTTTTGTTTTTGTTGTTTGTTTTTTTAAATCTGTAATTGCACACTAGTGAACATCTGATTCGCACATTGAATCATCAATTGAGTGCAAGGGCTTTCTCTTGTAAACCTTTCAACTTTGACTTCAGTGGGGATTATAGTGCTGGGACTTGATTCAAAACGAAATGAATGAATTGGATGCTTAATCATTGATAAATTGCTTAGTTACCCGTTTTAATTTACCACAGTCCAAATCCTCGGCGTTTCAGCTTCTCAACAGTAAATATTCTCCAGTTTCTGGAATCAAAACAAAACATTTGCTTTTACTTTGGATAACAATGTTTGACTGTTTTTGGTCTGACATGTTATGGCCCAAACCAGCAACTGAGTCATAAATAATTTGTGCCTTTTCTACAATGTCAACGTTTTTAATGGATATCCTATTGAATAAGGGGATTGAAATTAACACTTTTTTTTTTTTTTTGTTATCTGATTCATCGAAAAAACACAACAGATTTGTCGCTTTTTAAAATAGTCGTCATTTGCAGCCCTATTATAAATATTTGACACAACAAGCATTTTGGTAGTTGGCAGACATGTGAACTTCAACAGCACAACAGATTCAGTCCATCAATTTAGAAGGTGTTTATTTTCCATCAAGCTCCGACTCAATCAGTATTCACCGGGCTCAGGAGTCAAGCTTTTACAGGACTTCTGTAAACTCCCGCACTTTCAAGCACTTAGCAAAAGTGGTTGTCGCAGCGTAGGCCGTAATGTGATGTCATGTGACGAAGGTTTTAGTGTCTTTTAAGTCAGGGGTCCCCAACCGCCGGTCCGCGGACCGGTACCGGTCCGCCGGGCATTTGGTACCGGGCCGCACAGAAAGAACTTGCCTTAATTCCGTTTTATTTATTTCGGAATACGAAAGATGTTTTATTTTGAAAACTTACCGGATTCTCCGTTACATCCGTCTGTGTCCAGCTTGACACACGTCAAGCCACGCTTCTCCGTAACGCGACCAATTAGGCTAAAAACAAACACCGGAGCTCGCAAAATGAGTAAAAAAACTGCTGGAGATCGCAAATGACGGCGGCCTTAAAAGTACGTTCGAGACAACTGGATTAAAGTTATGTCTGAATACTCTGAGATCGCCACAATAGCACTTTTGCTATTTCCGACATCCTACCTGTGTGAGGCGGGGGGATTATGCAGCAACGGCGACGAAAACAAAATTACGAAGTAGACTGGACATAAACCACACACTTGCGGTGTCATTGTCTCTCCTATTACCCCGAGATGGGACCGTCTGGTTGCAGAAAATCAAGCTCGGTGCTGTGGTGAGTCGTCATTTTCATGCACTTTGAATTTGCGTTGTATCGTATTTTGAAGGCATTAAACATTGCCATAGCGATTGGAGTGTTGCGGCCAGATTAGACGCTCCTTGTGTTTATTATTATATTTCGAAAACACCACAGTTTTCATGCAGCTCATACCATATTATTTTGTTGTATTATTTCCGCCACACCTTAAATGCCGGTCCCTGAAAATATTGTCTGACATAAACCGGTCCGTGGGGCAAAAAAGGTTGGGGACCCCTGTTTTAAGTCATCAAAACCCAACTGGCCTGACAAGTCCTCCACTTTCAGCCTATGAGAAAAATCATCCGTGTTTAACTCGTTTCATGGCTACTTGCGGTTTGCAGTATGCACACTTACAATTCATTGGTCTGTGAGCACCAGCTGGTAGCGTACATCTCCGCACCTGCTCTCTCCGAGTACGTGCGAACACAATATAGACTCAACACGTCACATTCCACAATGAGGGGGACAAGCGGGTGTCCGCAGGGTCACAGACACGGATAGACGCGTTGTGACACGAGCGCCTGTAAATCTCTCCGCGCCTTCCTCTGCTCGTTCTCGCCTCCCTCCTTCGCGCCCTGGTCACTAACACCGGCTTCCTTTCCTTCATCGCGCCAGGAACGTGCTGAGAAAGCTCCTGACTCAGCCTCAGAAAGTTCAAGAGGACGTCCTGTCTCTGGAGGAGATACTGGCAGAGGGGGTTGAGGGGGAGGAGGCCATGATCTGCCCTTTCCTCCCTCTTTCCACCCTGCCCAACCCTTCCCCTGGCCCGGGGGCTGTACCGGAGGGAGGCTTAGCCAGACTGTGCAAGGCCAGGATGAAGGCGTTGCAGGAGGCCAGCTACTACAGCGCCGAACATGGCTACCTGGACGTCACCATGGAGCTGCGAGCGCTGGGTAGCTAGCACACACCCACTGTGCTATCTCAATGTGCCGGGGTTAGAATATTTGGGGAGTTTTCATTGTAGTTATTCATCTTTTTTTTTTTTTTTTAACTGACTTTTTTTTTTCAATTCAGTGAGTTTTAATTCTTTTTTTAAGGCTTTTTTAGGTTCATTTTTATTAGTTTTAGTGTTAGTTTTTCTTTAATATGTGGAGTGTTTGTCAAGTGCAAATTAAAAAAAAAAGTGGTGGGGTCTCACTAAGTATTGCGTAATGAAGTAACCTGCAATTCTCAAAATGACTGGTTGCCCTTCCTTCTGGACGGACATACAGCAACACCAAAATAAATGAATAAAATCACAAAAGCTCATGTATGATTTTAATTGACAAAGAAGAAAACAAGGGGCATTTTTGCTTTTGTTATAATTGTTTTATAAACGTAAGATATAGTTTCAGTTAGTTTTTGAAAAAGCATTTCATTGCTATCTTATTTCATCAACATCTTAGTTGAGTTATTATTGTACGTTTCCATTGGTAATTAATCTGGGAATGTATTTTCCACGGGATTTATGAGAATTAACTCATATTGAATAACAACATTTCATGTTGTCATTAGAACACATCCATGCAAAAGAATAACAGATAAAAAGCATGATAGGTCAACATGCTATTTATTTATTTCTTTATTTATGAAAGTGTAACTTAACCAAGATTGTCAGTGATTTAACTTAATAATTAAATGAAGAAAAATGCATCCAAAAAATATCAAGAAACTCTTAAAAATGCATGCATCTTCTGCACCGCTTATTCTCAATTCAAAGTTCCCATTCAAAATGTCACGAAGAGTCCCTCAACCAACGGAATCATCTTCTCTCAAGCTTCTCAAGCCGAGTCTCAGCTTTTTGCTAAACCTGTTCAGTTAATGAGTTATTCACATTCAACTGTACTAGCGTGAAATCCGGTTTTAATCAGGATTACGCTAAAATGTACATTTCCCCAACTATATATAAGTTCCCACTAAATCCAAGACCGTTTCCATTCACTAAAATCTCACTGTATTTTGTGAACCAAACCTAGGCTAATTTACATTTTGGTGGAAAGACTTAACCAAATCAAAATTAACACTGGGGAAAGTTTTCCCCTTTTCGAATTGCTGGAAATTTGCAAGCCTAATGTCAACCCTAACCCCCTTTCGTGGCTGTCGCTAGGCGTTCAGTGGAAGCTCCACGTGTGGCTCGAGTCCCTGCGGTGTGCCCAGCAGCAGTCCAGGGTGGGCGTCACGTTGTCCCTCCTCAGGGAGTTCACCTCCATCAGAGAGGAAGATTACTGTGAGGAGCTGCTCACCGTGGGCCTGCCCCTCATGTTCAACATCTTGCGCACCACCAAGGTAGGCCCCAAAATTTTATTACACGCACACACGCGCACACACACGCACGCACACACACTCACCATCGTCTGTTTGTTAATGTTTCTTTGCAGAGTGATGCCATCATCCAACAGTTGTCACATATTTTTAGCCACTGTTTTGGCCCAGCTCCTCTTCCTACTGTCCCCGACATGAAGGCAACTCTCTCAGCACAGTTGGGTATGAGGCCAACTCTCCTGTTTTAAAACACCGATCGCACACAAAATAGGTACCATCTGTCCAGTCTAATTTTATCCAATACAAGAACTCTTTACAAAGATAGCAAAGCTGTCAAAAGAGGTCTTATTAGTATGGTTATTGTGCATCAGAGCCAAGAGAGAAACCAAGCAGCTTTCGGGTGGCAGAATTTATTAATGCAAACTGAATAAAGGTCATGATGTCATTCTGTTTCTATTTGGAATCTTTGCCACAGGTTGTCACTTTTCAACAATGCATTGACAAAATGTTGATGCTTCCCCTGCAGATCCCCACTTCCTGAATAATCAGGAGATGTCAGACGTAACTTTCTTGGTGGAAGGCAAACCTTTCTATGGCCACAGAGTCCTGCTCATCACAGCTTCTGACAAGTCAGTGCAGTTGTGTCTGTGTACACTCCTTCATCAAAACATGTTTGTCTTGAAATGTTGTCATGAGATCATTTTCTCTCTCTCTCTTAGATTCAAATCTCTGCTGGCATCCTCTGGTTCCGATACCACTGCTAACAAGAAGATCGAGATCAGCGATGTCAAATATAATGTGTTCCAGGTAAATTCAGTTCTCATATATCCTCCAAGATTAATTTTAACAAGTTTGACATCATGAGCGGCTTTGACATCTCTGCAGATGATGATGTCATACCTGTACTGTGGAGGAACAGAGTCGCTTAAAACCAGGGTGCCTGATTTGTTGGAGGTGAGAATGATTTCAGCATCATCAAATGATCACATTTCAACGTCATTCACATCAGCCCGTGACATAGCCTCGCATCCTTTTAAGATTGCACTCCTTAATCTTTGGGTCAATTTGAGTGATAAGATCTTTTTAAACGTACTTTCGTGTTTCTTTCAGCTGTTGTCAGCCGCTTGTGTGTTCCAGCTGTGGGCGCTGCAACGACACTGCGAGCTCATCTGCTCTCAACACATCAGCTTGGAGAATGCAGTTAGCATCTATAAGACTGCCAAGGTAACACACACACACACTTAATACAGAGCTTACTGGTGTGTGACATGCTATTGGTAAGAAAAAAGACATATGATTCATGTCATGGTGTTTTGTCTCAGGCGCACGGGTCAGCGGAGCTGAGCTCGTTTTGTGAAGGCTACTTCCTGCAGCAGATGCCTGCGCTGATGGAGCGAGAGACTTTCAGGTGTCTGCTGCTGGGATGCCGACAAGGCAGCGGCTCCACCTCTACGCTGGCCCTCAACCAAGGCGAATCACTCCTGGAGGAGCTCGAGGTCACTCTGGCCCGTCGGCTTCGCTCGCTCTACGTCACATCCAGAGTTTGAGGACACGTGGACAACATGCAAAAACACAGGCATCGTTTCCCTTCGGCAACACATATGTGGTGTCGATCACCCACAGTGACTTTTGTAGTATACTGAGTACACCACCTGGACGTATTTGTGGTGGACAGAATGTTTTTAAGGAAAAGGGCTCAGGAAGCTTTTTGGTGGATGATGGCAGAAATGCAAGTGGAACTGTGAGCCAATGGTGCCCTCTAGTGGGCATAATGGTAAATAACCGCCTTGGAGCCAGTAGCTCTCCAGAGTGAAGCACAAGTGGCCATGCTGGACTTGTGGCCTTGTCCCATTTGAACTAACCAATACCTGTAATGCAAAATGCAAGGTCAGTGACGCGCGTTTCTCAACATTTCCTCCTCCCAATAACCACATAATCCACACTTTCTGAATTTCTATTTAATGACAAAAAATGTGAGTATTTAACAGGGTCTTTGCGTTTATTTTTTTTCTTTTTAATCCAAATTGTTTTTAATGTTGTTTTCACTGTTCGAGGTACACTCTTAACAGTCACTTAAGCTTAAATATGCTAAGGCTGAATGCTTTGTGGCAACAGAATCATATGGGATTTTGAAAAAGTTGTCAAACCTTTTCTAATAAATATACACTTGGTATACAACCGTCGTTGATGGAATTCAGTAATGCTTCATTGTAAATACCAGGTGGCTCAGGGACAGATCAAGAAACAGTGAATTAAATATACAGTACACTAGATAATGGTGCCTGTGGGCTGTTCAGAAAATAGCTCACTGGTCATAGGGCATTGTGATTTCCTTGGAATTTTGTGGAAGTTATTTGAAACACTTTCAGAGAATTAGCGAAAAAATGTTGCATATCGATATTCATATATTTCTCGTTTCGCTAAATCGATAATGTGAGGAATGACACGATCAGTGTCTTGATGTTGAGGAGTGTCATTAACATATAATTAAAGCAAATTTGTACTTGTAATTTGCTGGGGACTCACCACAAGCACGGAAGAAAAAGAAAGACACCATAACGGAATGATTTTATTTTCTTAGCACTGATGATGCTCACAGTAGTTATGTTATATATGGGGATTACATCAGTCTGTGTAGTTCCTGCTCTGACTCTCTGTATCATTGACTGTCCTCTGAGCTGCGTTCTGTCCATTCATAGAAACAAAGGAGAGTTGACATGAGGGTATTGCTTTGTATTGATAAGTATTGATATCCTCTCCCTGTGCCTTCTGTATACCCACATAAGACAGCTCAGATGTCCGAGACCTCTGTGGAATGGCGTAGAGTGAGAGGCATTGCTCAAAAACGTTGAGCACAAGATAAAGAGGAGGAGGAAAAGATCAGCGGGTGGGAGGAAAGATTGAAAACAAACCAAAAAAAGGCAGAACTAAAAGCCAGGGTAAGAAGCAAGGGGGGAGTGGGTGGGTGTTTTTGGGGGCAACGTAAAAGGTAGTTTTGTGGCGATTAATCAGCGTGGAACAGTTACACCAAAAGCCATGCAAAGAAAAGCTCATGTTTGACATGCACACAGCAATACAAGCTAAACGTATAGAGCAGGAATCTCCAGCATGGTAAAGAAGACAATCAACCCCATTTTTGAACCGTCTATTTACAAAGAGATCCGTAGATTAATGTTGTCCTTTACAGGCCCAGCCTACGCAAACAATAATATAGAAACTGACAAATATCAATAAAAGAGCATTCCCTCTCTCCAAAAAGAGGCTAAGTCTACATTCTTAAATCACTGGTATGTTTTTTTTTAGTTTCGTTTTGTTTTCACAAGTTCTTCCTCCTCATGTTGAAGAAAGAATTCATCATTCAGTTAAAATTAGATCTTGTTTTTCTTCAAATGATGCCCCATTTACAAACACACAAGAAGGTAATCATAAATAACATTCAACTGACCTAACAGCTTTGTTCATATAAATAGTCAAGTTAAAATAAATTAGGAAATGACACCGTGAGATGAATAAATAAGGGCCAAAAATACAAAAATAAGCACATCATGTTTCTTTTTTTTTTCTACTGCTGGTAAGTACGTGAGAGAGAGGTCTGAATGGAGAACTGAAGACCAAAGTGCTGCAGAGAACATGATAGACAAAAATGATCATGTGACCAAAAGTACACCGATGATTTATCCTATAGGCTACCAAAACAATGTGTCACAACGAGACAACTCTTTGACTACATCAGAAATGACAGCAGTCTGTACAAGAGAATAAAGCATTCATTTTCAGATAACCATCCGTCCGTCCACACTGTTATGACCCTCCCAACTTCTCGCTGAAATCACAGTTCCAATTCATTTGCAGCAGTAGTGGTAGTTCAGGTCAAGTCAGAATTTTAGACGTAGTTCATCTCAAAGAAAGCACATTAAAGGAAAAAAATAAAAAATACAATCCAGCGAGCATCCATGTCGACTCTCCTCCGCCTCCTGCTTGTGTCTTCTTCTTCTTGGTCATACATCCCAGAGTTTAGTGTGCATACTGGAAATGTGCTGGTTTGCAAGGTGAGTCTCTTAGCAAAATGCTTGTTTTCTGAGGCAAGCGTGCCCAGAGTGTATGGAGGGGCCAGGGGGTTTGGGAACACCAAAGGAATTGTCCTCTACTTCTACTGTCAGGGCACACCGGGATGGGAGAGATGAAGGTACAAGTCTGCATGAAAGGTCGATTTCCACGGTCACCCAAACCTCTCCAAAGCAGTTCTTCATGCGCACCGGTAGGGGCAGGGGGATGTTGGCGGGTCAGTGGGGAGGGATGGGGGCGGGACTTAATAGGTTTTCTGGATAAGTCCTGGGATGAGAGACAAGTGAGATTAGCACACACGCTTTAGCAGCACGAAGAAAGGGCGCGAGATGATGAGGAGGAGGGATGAGATGATGGTGATGGTTTTCCTATCTAGTTCGGATCTATCGACTCCTCTTGTAGCATCAACTTCACGAGCGGGCATTTGGCGGCATTGTTTTCCTGCTCTTGCCTGCGGGCGTGCGCGGGCGACGGGCAGCGCTTAGATGGCACCTGGCCGTTCTTCTCGTCTGAAAAGAGGTGTCGGATTACGACAGATACGTTACTCGAGGTGCCGACAAGGCACACGGGGGACGAGGGTGCCAGGGAAGGAAAGCGAACACGGGGCAGGAGACGGAATAATGGGCCGTCAATGTGCACAGCTCTGTGTTTATATCACTGTGCAGTCTCGTCCAACAGTTCTGACCGTTATCTAGTGACGGGGTTAATGAACATGACGCCATCTATATTATTTTTGTAATCACTTTTAGAGGTACATGAAAAATGAAGTTATCCGATGAATTATCGACAAAATATTCACTTTCTACGGCTGCAAATGGCGTGTATATGTGAAGCAGCTCTTTACAACATCATGCCAAAGACTGGCGAGGCCTTTTGTTTGAAAAGATGAGGCGCAAAACTATTTTGTGTACCTCCTATTAACAGCTGTTATCTCATTTCAAAGGCCCTGCGCTGGGGAAGCTCTGAAGGTGTATTAGGAGACCAACAGGAGGAGTTTAATGTGAGTCTGAGTTATTGCTCTGTGCATATTGACCTCATTAAGATGTTAAGTCATTTCGATAAATCTTGGACTAACATGTCAAAGGAGCAGCCATGCCCTCTTTATTTTTTGCAATAGCCTCACCATCACGCCCCGAACGTCCTTCCACTGCTACTAATTGCCGAACATGATCTTATGGAAGCGACTCTCATTTGTACTGAGGCCTTAGTCTATTAATTAGAGACACATTTTCAAATATCAGCTAATCCTTAGAGCCGCCCGTGACTGCTAAACCAGTTAAATCCCATATTGCGGTCGTGCGCTTGTAGATTACAGTATGCATCGCACAAACGAAAAAAAAAAACATTAGCCATTTATGGGTCTAACAGGGAGGATTAGACAGCATATGGGTTGTGGCACCTGGTTATATCTGTGACATTGCTGCACTTTGCCCCTTGAATAAAGACAACAAAATACAATTACCGAGCTCATTTTCCTTAATTCTGTATTTCAGAAATTCTACAGCAAGTTTCAAACGTAAAATATGTGCCTTGGCTGACTGAATAAAGGTTGGCACACACTGGTAGAAAATGGATAGACGCGCGAATGTGTTTCCCTATCTCACCAGCAGAGAGAGCCATTGGCACGAGGACGTCAAGTGACACAAATCACAGGCTTCGATAGAAGCTTTGATCAGAAGATTGTTCCTGTGTTGAGAGAACATGAATCATTTTCAGTTCCTCAGAATCAAAACACTTCACAAATGAGACATAACAGCAAATCCCAGGTGAAGCAGTATATATAAGCTCTCTCGCTATCGACTGGGAATCGAACGCGCAGCACCTACGCCCGAGTCCAGTGCCGTTGTGGTGTTGCCATGGTGACAAAACCTCCATAAGAATGTGAATGGCCTTTCCATACCTTCCGGGTAATTTTTACAACCAGACAACGTTTTGACCCTCGGCAAACGCTGCGAGAGCCAGCGTGCACAGCGGAGCGTGATGCTTGCAGAGGCAGAGAGTGAGAGTAATGCTGAGGTGAGCTGGGGTGGGGTAGATGAGGGGGTGCAAAAAGGAGATCCTGCTCACCAGATAGCTGCTGGACTCCAGGCTGGTCATGTGTGCTTAACAACTGGCTCTGAATTGTCTCCACTACCCGCTTGAAGCGCCGACTGGGTCCTTTAAAAGAGACACACAAACCAGAGGACGTACAGATAGGAAAACACTCATGAGGTGCAGCGTATCTCAACTGACTTTAGACGACATCCTGGTCTCCAGCCAATTGCAGGGCCAGTGCACGTAGCGTAGGCCCAAATAGTGTGAGCGGTATGTTACTGTAGGGCAAGAGACGGCACAACCTTGGGAATTGTAGAGGGCACTGAGCTCAAGGGGGTCCCAAGAGACAGCTGACATGCGTCCACATCAATAACAAAAGAATGGCAGTGGTTTAGACGCTACAACGGCAACGTGTGAGGAATCCCTTGCATTGGGCCCCATACCAGCTGCTGCTGACTGGTGGCCAGAATATCAACAACACAACTGGAACCCCCACAGACATTGCAATGACAGGCCAGGATTTTGGAAGGCTCCAAAATAGGGCCCTCTACTGGCAAGCTGGTTGTTAAAAACACTGACAATCAAATGAGGCCAATTTTCACTCACGGCAAGCAAAAAGAACAAAAGAAAAAGAAAGAAAAACTGTGACAGTGGTAAATGGGAATGGGTATTTGTTAAAAGCAGCAATGCCGATTTATCCCAGTCTCACTAAGCATCAGGAAGTTTGCTGCACATTATTTACAAACATTAGTTCAACAGTAAATGAGCTAATAATCTTGTTGAGATGTAACAATATATACTGGATCTGTTGTCAAATAATTGACATTAACCTCAAATTATTAATTCAGTTTACATGTCAATTCATAAGTAGAAGATTAGATAGAATTGCTTATCCATCATTGTGTTTTTTTGTCTGGGGTGAAGGACTCCATGCATTCTTGTTTGGAACCCCCATTGGGGGGCAGTGGGGTGTCAAGAAATGTCCCAGCATGCAAAATCATGTTTCTTTAATTGAAACCATTTCACCCCATGTAGTACCTTCCTGTGTGTGTGTGTGTGTGTGTGTGTGTGTGTGTGTGTGTGTGTGTGTGTGTGTGTGTGTGTGTGTGTGGGTGGGCGCTTCACGAAAGCGTTTTATGGCAACACATCTGATAACTTCTCCACGTTTGCTATACAGTATAAGATCACTGGCCACAACATTAGTTCAAAATAGATAATGAGAATAAATGATGCATTCAAACTGTGGTTAACATAATATTGTTCAGTTTGGACAATGCCAAAAAGAGTTTTCACCTCTGTCGAGAAGGTAATGGTTTTTGGCCACGTCTTTCTGTTTTGACAGGATAATACAACAATTTATATTTACATGAAACTCCTTCTCCTTTGGTTATGTTGACATCATTACCCTCTTTAGAACAGGAGTAGAACAGTGTTGAGAATTTTGAATTCATGATGTTTGCATGATGTCGCACAATGTTGGACAAAAATGCGAACCACTAATTTACTGAGCTTCCTTCTAGATTTCAATCAGTTTATTTGTGTGTCATCATTATGTATGTAACAATATAGTACTTTCATAAGGTGAATAAATGGCATTATATGCACATTCATATTGGTATTTTTCTTCATGCTGAGAGATGTCCCATCAATATCTATTTTTGTTGTAGGATGGGTGCATACCACCCACACAGTAAATTGTATCAGGCTTATACCCCCCAATACTGTATAGTATTTACTTGTCTGGATTCAATACATGACAAATAGTGTCGGTCGTGGTTTGTATGTTTGTATGTGTGCAACCCTGTGATAGAATGTCCCCCCCCCCCGAGACTGATTGGATGGATGATGACATGCAGCAGCATCCTGACCTGAGAGCAGGGTGAAGGTGACGGAGTAGATGCCATTCTCCTTGGTGGCAGCTGTGCTCTCCGTGTAGGTGATATCCACCTGGAATTTGACCGGCTTCTGGAAGACTGTCGGGCCAGCCGTGGACTTGTATTCTGCTCGGAAACTAGTCTGTGAAATGACGCTGTGGCTCAGGCTTGGGATCTGTTATCAAAGATGAAAAGAATTTAAAAAAAAAAAAAGTGAATAATGGAATTAAACAGAGGGAGTGAGTGGGAATGTACAATTTTTCACCCACACGCTAAAAAAGACAACCCTCAATGAAACGTTCTCCATAAAATACGAGCCAGAGCCAAACTCGAAGGAAATTAATACCTTGGGGAGTAGCCATGCATGAGAGGGACTTAAGCTAAAATAGTCTTCAGTCATTGCACTCACCCTCCTGAAATGAATTTGGGTGCCCAATGAACAGGTGAGTTGTAAAACTGTCACATTCTGTCGTCGTGCTGTGGATGTGTTGACATTCCATTAATGTGAGTGTGCTTCAAGGTATAATTCCACTGATTCGGGTGCCAATCTCCTGTCGGGAATACCAGCTAGCACAGCCCGGGAGGGATAATAGCTACCTCTAGGGATGGGGCAACAGATATGACATTGACCTCAGAAGGCAGAGACCCAGCTTGCTTGTATTTACTTGGCAACTTTCTTCAAATCTAACTGGGGTGAGCATAGATTCCGTTCAATCACACATGCTGAATGCTCAACGCAATTGTGTGGTACTTACAGGTGAGATGCTAATGTTGCCTGTATTTCTCCATATAATTTAGCATTTGTTCTATTTATAAACACCGCAGCAACATAAATACACGGTTCAATATCCAAAACTGAGGGCAAAGCATCTACTGGAGAGGCAGAGCACGAATGCCTTCTGTAGTTTTTGTATTGACCTCCATTGAGTCTGCAGTCAGGGGGAAAATAGAAGCGATGAACAAAAGCATTTGGCTGAATTGCTACATAAATCTGAAACATGTTAGCAGACCTTGTGGCTGCCACACACTCATGAGACGCATATCCAGCCTGTTATTAGAAAGACAGCAAATAGAGTTACCACTGCCACACTTGGTAGGGCACAGGAGGGTGATGTGAGAAGAGTTAGGAAGGAGGGATATAAAGAGGAGAACCGAAACACTGTTTTTCATTGCACAGCACTTGCTCTGCTTGGTCACAATGTATCGAAAGCATGAGTTGGAACAGGAGAAAAAAAAAAAAAACAATTGGAGGGCAACGAATATCCTCTATTGACATGTAGAAAAGTGGCTGTTGGCAGCAGTATGCAGATAAATGTGGAGGAGACAAAGAGCCACTGCAGCAAAGCTGTGGAGTGTCACACTGCAGTGTAGAAAACGAAGACAGCATGGCACAGTATTTGGGTTGAGGCTCTTTCGATGGAGCCAAAGCAATAAGAAATAATACTTTCTTCATGTTATCATTTCTTAATCAGGTGCTCTGTCAATGCACTTTGAAAAAGGAAGCATTTTTCATCAAAAAATAAGATATATGATTTGAAAATGGTGACACCGAGAGGAGTGTTTAGCACATTTGGCTCACAGTGCTGAGCTGAGGCTGGTGGATCAAATTCGGCCTTCTTATGTGATATGTGCACATTCTCCCCATGCTTGCTTATGAATTCTGGCTTTTTCCCACATTCCCAAAACATGCATGTTAGGTTCACTGAAGACTCTAAATTGCCCCTCGGTGTGAATGTAAGTGGTTGGTTGTCCATATGTCCTCATGCCCAAAGTCAACTGGGTCAGTCTGGAGCTCACCTGTGACCCAAATAAATCCTCATTGAGTTTACAGGTGGGATAGAACATGGATATACATTTTCAAAGGCTCTTTTTAAAGAATAGATTTTCTTCACTGTTCTTAACTTCTAAAAATGTGGTTCACAACTGCAACAATATAGAAGTATGCGATGAAGACCACTTACCTATATGACATTGGCTCAACATCCTCGGAACCTACACTAACCAGGTCCTAGTTTTGCCAATGGAAAAGTGCCATCTACTCTAAAGCTGTATCGAGATCCAGACTCTGAACTGTGTGGACAAGTAAGATAAATAATAAATGTGGTTGACGTTACCGAGAGAAATGCTTGAACGATATCGGCCTTGATGGAGCTGAGAGGCTTATCCCTGATGACAATGAAGATCTGCTCCTCTTTTTCCAAGTTGATGAAGTTACCAAACCAGGATTTTTTGGCAAGTCTGTGGGGAGAGAGCACAAGAAATGTTTGGGCCGCTAACAATCCCAAATCAAAGTATTAAATGCATGTAAAGGGAATGTTCAGACAACAATTAGCAGTGTTTCTCTTATTATGCCACCAGTGCAGCCGGCGTTGAATAAGTACGTTTTCTATGACTCATAGTTGTAAGCGTACATAGGAACACAGGATTTGACATGAATGGTGGCCCGGGCCCAGTACGCTGCTGTGTCCGGCCACCACCTCCAGTACCTACAGGCAAAAATGAGACCAGTAGCTATGGATAGCACAGTCACTTGCAATTTATACAAGTTTATCTTCAAATACAATAAAAACCACAAGAGGTAAAGCACCTGTGAAACAGAAATGTTCAATTCTTTGGAGGTGGGTGACTATGTGGTGTCGTACAATACGCTGTGCTGTGGAGACAGACTGGTTGAAGGGTAATGGTAAGTGATATTTAAATTTTTTATTTTTATTTTTTTTGTGGGGGGGACGGGACTGTGAGTGTGAATGGTTGTTTGTAGATGTGTTCCCTGCGAGTGGCTGGCGACCAGTTCACGCTGTACCAAACCTACCACCCAAAGACCGTTGGGATATGTCCCGGCACGCCTGCAACCCGAGTGAGGACAAGCAGTTCTGAAAATGAGTTGAATGGATGGATGGATGGATGTTTTTATTGTTTCCATGCCAGTCTTTCAAAATATGCCTTCAAATGAAAATGTGCAATGGCGCTTAAAAAGTTTGGGGACCGCTGACTATATACTGTATTGTGCATGGGCGGACTGTCAGTGCTAAGTGAATATTTTCGTAATTTTGAATTCGGTTTATTCCTTGTGACATTAATATTAATTTTTGCAATGGCAAGGCCTTGGTTTTAGTGCTGATTGTGCATAGTCATAGCCATAAATGCAATTGTATGAATAATGTGCCGTACCTGATGTGCAAGTTCATGGGGCCATTGTCAGTGTGCACATTCAGATAATTCGATGCACGGTGATGACAGTACCAGCGTCTGGCACAGATACGGAATTGCTTTTGACAAAAACGATGGCGGGCAGTCTAACACGCACACTCTGGTCATGGCCTCTTACAAGAATGCTGGGGAAAATCTGTTAAAAAGTCAGCCTAGATGGCCATGGTAAAAGGTACTTAGGTGCTCAATCATAAAAACTATTATCCATAAACAAACCAAATTGTTAAGTGATCATATCGTTTCCTGAGTCAAAATAAATAGCAACCCTACATAAAATGGTATGATACATTGCAGAATCGGTATTTTGCCTACCCCTAAAAGAAACTTCCCGATGAAACCCAGTCACAGATAAGCCATACATTATGCTGCTGGTGTTGCATTGTAATCTACTTAGGAGAAGCGCTTCAGCAGGAAGCTCTCCAATCAACCCTGATGTTTCTCTGCCAGGTGGAAATGATCATCCACCAACCAAACAGGCACACACACATTGGCCAAAACTTAAGTAATTACCCTTCAGGAGTCTGAGTAGCATCATACAGGCAGCCAGCCAGTCATTCCTCATAACCAGCCACCTCAAGCTAGAGATAAGGTCAGCAGGAAAAATTCTTACTCAAAATAATTCTAAATTGCCATGTGGTCAGAGGAGGTAGCTTTGAGGTATGGACGGTAAAACATCATTATGATTATAAAAGCGAAATATTTACTTACTCTGGGGAAGACTCTGGAGTGAGGCTGGACATCTCTTCTTGTGTGGGAACTGTGGACACATGAGAATTTTTAGGGTGGAATGAGAACATTAAAAAAATAAATAAACTGGACAAATATACACATACACAGACCTTGGAGTTTCCTGCGATGGAAGCGTGGTGAGCCCAGGAAACTGTTCTTGATGGAATTGAGGCGAGTCCTCCATGGCATGCCGCCAATGGAGGGGCTGGGAGGTGGGGTTGGGGTGGGAGTCCCGGCTGGGCTGTCCTTGGGCGTGTGCACCGGGGTGCCCTTTGGGGTGGGTAGGGGACTGCCTCGAGGGGAAGGGTGAGGGGTGACCTGTATGAGGGGGATAGATTTAGGTGGGTGGTCAGCGTAGAAAGAATGTGTGGGTGATACGGGGTGGAAGTGGTGCAGCCTGATGGGGGAGGGAGGCACCACCGGGCTGAAGGGCACAGAGAGTTGGGGGTTGGCAGCGAACTGGGAGCGACGCACTTGGGGGCTGTTTAGGACTGAAGCGACTGGGCTTGGGGAGGTTGGTGAAAGTGCGGAGGTGGGTGTGGGCGGCATGGAGGCAGATGGAGCGTTTGATGGGATATGGCAGGAAGCCGAGGACTCGGACAAGGATGCTGCATCTAATGAGGCTTCTGGGAGCGGGTTGGATCGCGTCGCGTGAAGAGGCTTCGGCGCAAGTTTAGGCTTGGTCGGGAGCGTCTGGGTCTTGTTCAGGGTGGTCGGCAGGGCCTCCGTGCTCGGCGCCAGTGAGTTAGGTGTAGACATACGAGGACCTGTACGATTTGGAAGGGGCTCAGGGGATGGGCTGGGGCTGGGGCTGGTGTTTGGGGACTGCGGTAAGTCAGGGGATTGAGGTGGAACCCCAAACTTTCTAACAGGCTTTGTGATTCAAAACATACATATGAAGGAATACAAAACGCGGAGTAAAGTAAATACAACCACCAAGCAGCCAGATGCCGAGGGCGCAAGCCAAAAAGTACGTGCACAAGAACATAAAGAAAAAGGAGAAAAGACCATGCAGTTAGAAAACAAAGTGATGTGATATGGAAATAAGGCAATAGGACGAGCAAGCAAAATCACATCAGAGTATTAAACGATAAAAACATACAAACTGTGTGGTCTCACAAGAGAATAACTCAGACACATATGGAAAAAACAAGCGAGCTCGGAAGACATCTTAAGAACCATCACTACACTTGATCAATTATTGATTTTTAACCTTGAAACTGCAGCCACATCGGGAGAAATAATGATATGGACGGAATAGTTCATATATAGGCCATATATATATATTAACAGCTTGTGATCAGTGTTAGGGAAGAGGTGTGAAAGTTTATTGATCTCACTGTGGACATCTGTGGCATCTATCAGTCAGACTGGTGGGCCTTTAGAGAAGGGGAAGTGTGTGATGTGCGGTTTGATGTGCGTGCATGTGATGAGGTAGTCAGACAACAACAAAAATGAAAAACAGGTTCATTGCGAGTTCAACGTGTTCTTCCGGCGACATCAACTTTGTTTTTGGTTGCTCTTGTTCTTATTTTGCTGCCTTGTTTGTTTTCCTTTCTTTCTGGATACTTCTCATCGCCCCTCACTCTACTGCAATTATACCCAATATACCCCTTAAAGACAATGGAGGGACCCGGCACTAGGCCATATATATATATATATATATATATATATATATATATATATATGGCCTTGGAAATCAATTTCTCTTTCAGATGAGCTGTGGGATGAGCAGCTTGTGTGAAGATCCTGGATAACACAGTCTTCTCAAGGTTAGTCAGCTGGATACGTACGCTCCTAGCCTATCCAATCCAAGCTAGAAAAGGAGGATTTTGTAAATAATTCCTTGAGCTGGATTTCTACGTGCTAAGGCTGCCGAAAACAGAGTAAGCTATTATAAGCCAAGAGGATCAGGCAAGGAGATGCTTTCGTCTTTGATAAAAAAAAAAAAAAACCCCGCTCAGCCTCTCTTCTTGTGTGTTCTCGCAGGCGTTCCGTGTTTTCCGTCAAAAGTATAATTAGTAACCCATTCAAATGGATTCGGGATTCGGTTGTTAAATGGTTAACGAACAGCGATGGCGGATTCTAGTAGCCCAGCCCCTGATGAAGACTAAATTAATATATATATTTTTATATATAAAACAAAAACATGGAGCTCCTTTGAATATGAACTCTATAAACAGGTATCTAAAATGAAAACACCATGAACAAAACACTGAGCAAGAATCATATTCAGACCCACTATAGCAATTTTACTTTCTTTTCATCAGTCATCTTTCTTTTCATCATGTCAACTCAAGTGAACCACTTGAGTTGACCTGTGGCTTTTGTGATTTTGGTGCGGCTGTGCCACAGGTTATTGATCTGGAAAATAAATGATTCCATGTTTCCACGTACCCCCTGCAATGTGCTCATAGAACCCCAGGGGCATACATAACCCTGGTTGGGAAACACTGACTTAGAGAGCGATACGAAGAGATCAACAGGAGTTCGATGGTCATCCCACGGGGGGACATGGAAACCCGAGAACTGGGTCAAGAGGTGTCATGTCCCATACGTGTGTGTATTTGTAAGGGTACAAAAGGTCTCGACTTACCCGTGGGCTGCTGAGCGGGCTGGTGGTGAGGCCTGAGGAGGCTCCGCTAATAGACCGCGACCTGTGGACCAAGCACGCAAGGCAAGAAGTCAATTGCGGGCTGAACATGCGAGGCTGTTACACAATGGAACAGGTCACAAGCTTGGAGGTCAAACGTTGAGCTGGGTAGCACTCGAGCATATGGCGCCATCACGCCAAGCAGACAGCAAGGAGGAGTGGAAACGCTACAGCACACAGAGCAAGCCCTCATTTGTCAGCACACATTATTTGGCAGTGACTCAAGGTAATGTCAAATGAGTTGAATTGACTGAACACTCACCTGGAAATCTCTTTGTACTTTTCCGAACATTAGCATTCAAATTAGCTTTTTTGTTGTGGCTGTTGCCCAGTCTACACTTTGCTAATAAATAAAACATGGTGACTTTTTCAGTCTGTGTGCACCGGATCAGTAGCGGATATCTTGAGGGGGGGAAAATGAAGTGGGGCATTTGGTGGCGTGCCATTCATTTTACATTTCCATGCAGATGCCGTCAACGGCATTGTGAGGCGAGGCGAGCCCCAAATTGAACAATCACGGGACAATCTGTCTCCATCACGCACACCACACGTACGCCCGACACAACACACACAAAGTGCCTGTCAACGCCAGCTGCTTCCTGCCACAACGCTGCTTGTTTTTGTCATTCATTTTACAACCACACCCTCCTCCTTTCTCACTCGGGCACTAATGAATTTGCAACCATCTTGCCTGCCTTGCAAAGACAAAAGGAAATGGGTAAAATGGGAGTTTTCCCCTAAGATCTAAGAACACTGGTGTATGCTATGCTCTGGATGGCTCTCATTGTTGAAATTCCAAACACAATTGCTTACTTAGATGGTCAGGCATAACAACAACAAAAAGAAGAACAAGTGCAATAGGTGGACACTGCCACAAAAAAAAAAGTATGTCAACTCGAGAAGCTTTTAATTCATAACTGAAGAGATAGCACTCCCACTCCCAAGTTATTCTTATCTCTCTCTCCGTGGTGAGTCCAAACTGTAATGCGCAAGCAAGCATGAGTGGGCGAGGCTGAGAACAAACCGGCTCAGACTTACTTGTATGCGAGAGCAGCTGACCAGACAACTCAATTGAAGGCCCCTTCAGTTCACGGAGACATGCCCACATGCCCACTTGCACCTCATGACAACACAGACACACTCTGGCTCCTCGGCCCATTATGAGCATATTGTCGGACACGCTGCGCATCTGTTAGTGTTGGACCGGCACATCTATAGAGTTAATAATACAGATGGCAATGCTGAACAGTAATACACCATCAGGGAGGCTCCCTTGCTGCAAGATGACAATGAATAAATGTGTCAGCGGCAGCACACAAAACAAAATTCAAATCATCATTCAAATCTAAATGCCGTCAGACATTGCACCCAACGTTGGTTTCATTCAGTAACCCTAAATTTAGGACCTTCATGACTTTTTTTTTTTGATCCAACTCAAAAGCTCTCATTTCCTTAATATGAGAAATTGAATGGGTAACATGGGAGCAGATTGTGATGTAAAGCACGGAAGAAAATAAGTAGGTAGCAGGCTTCTAGTGATTGCGGACTGTTTGCCTAAATCTTTGCAACATTTTTTAAAAACATTACTGTACAGCAGTGGCATTTTATGTGGCCAAACAATACAAAGGATGTCCTGCAGAAGAAAGAATGGCGTGGTTGTACTTTTTGAAGGAAGAACACCTCTATTCAAAGGGCAAACACCGATTTAAGTTCACCCTTCAATCAAATGCACCAACACACTGCTCCTTCTATTTTGGACTAATAGTTTACAACAAAGCGCTACGTCCTGGTGTGTACGACCAGAGGCTTTGTCAGAGATCCATCCAAAGCAAAGGAGTTCTGACGAGAGATGGTGTGGGATGGAAATAATACAGACGGATTTGAGGGATGGGGAAGTGAAATATAATGGAACTGATACAAAACATAGTGGGTGGTGCCAGGAGTAACCTCGCCAAAGCCCAAACACAATCACACTTCTCGCTCTTTTTCCTTTGACGCAACTTCACAAGTTCTAATTTCTGTGAAGTAGATCGGCATATCAATCAGAACACTATTATGTTGTTTCCTTTGCAGTGGCTCGAGAAACTCCCTGAAGATGGACTAAATTAATATCTGCAGCTCAGCTCCTCAAGTTTGAAGATGCAATAGACCGCTGCTGCTTCTGCTGAGGAGATCTGTAGTCAACGTACTTTCTTTGAGTGTCTTTAGCACTTACGATAATTAGCATCGACCTTCGGATTTATTAAAATTGCTCCACTAACCTAACTCATTCAAACGGCATCAGGCGATGGGAGCTGGTCAGTGAAGCAAAAAGGGGGAAAAAAAAAAGAAAATAATTGAATAAGTTATGACTCGCACTGTCACACTTTTGCATGTTTCATTTCCGTCATTAACCTGCCTTCATTTCAGTGAGCACACCGTTAAGATTTTAAATGAAAGCTATGGGATTCCCTGCATCTTGCTCAACATGTTTACAACATGGTTGCCATTGTGTTCGTTGACTATTGTGCATCCAGCATGAAATTATGAGTACGAAAATATGGCCTTGGTGGACTGCAACTGTTAACATGAGATAAGGGAGGAAAATTATGACTAAGGAGCATTGAGATATAAGGGCAATTTTAGGAATGTCATTTCAGATATAAACCTTCTCTCCCCGATGATTCACACTGATGTGAATGCATCCTGTCAGAGCACGTCAAAATCTGCATGCCTTGAATGCTGCCTGCACATTTTATCAATCCGCTGTACTTTCTGTAGGGTCAAATAAGGTTGAGTTCAGCCAGAAAAAAAGGTTGGGAGAAGTTCAACATTTAGCTTCACAGATCTCAGGTTAACAACACATCATTTTTGCCACTGCTATGTGCCGGAGAACCACAAAACAAGAGACTGGGGAGAGAGAAATATACAGAGAGACACTTGATTTGGGGGCAGGGGAAGCTGCAGCGTATAAAACCAACAACCAAATCAGCACTGTAGACAGACAATCTAGCGACATTTGTACATTAGTGTATCGATGGCACGCGAACCGGAGAGCGCAACTGGGACGGAGGATGAGCGACACACAAGGGAGGCAAAGAGAGTAAGTAAGTGAGTGCGACAGTCAGGGGATATAAAAATGCAGGGAGGAGACCACAGTTGACATTTATACGGTGCTAAATACACAGAAAAAAAGTCAAATTTAAAGCAGATGGAGGAAAGATGCAGCAGCGCTTCGTTTGGTGAATACTATATAGCTAATATAAACGGCATGGATCATTTTCCTATTAACCCCTGAACATTTGGGGTTGAACTAAACTTCTCAGTTCAGCCCAAATCTTAATTCTTCATTTCACCAAGGTGTCTCAAAATGCATGATTTCAGCTTTATGGGAACAGCTTGGAAGAAGCTTTTTGTGCTCCAGCATGGCTGCGTCCCAGCGCAAGCAACAACGCCCATAAAGGCATGCTTAAATGTATTTGGTGTGAGAGAACACAGACACACTTCATAAACCGTGTCAAAAGTCTTCACAGAACGGGTGAAGCTCCATATAATCTTCTGGTTGCCTTCCTGTCGGTGTGTTGGCCTTGCAATACTTAGGCCCGTATGTACCCGTATGTGACATGACCGCTCACTTAAAATTTGACATGCTATACAATGTTGTGCATTAGCAACACAATGCTAACCTGTTTTCGTATATATGTAACAAAGTAAAATGGCGTAGGAAGGAAGTGCCAAAACTAGCAAAAATGGTAAAGGCTTGGATGGCCTGAGGGGATGATGGAGTGGAACAGCCGGGATGAGACAAGCAGATGAATCTTAACACAGAATTCAAAGATGGACATTTTAAAAGGTGGGAGCTGCAGAAATGGCTCTAATCCTTCCAAAGTGTCTTGCGGATGGAAGTTTAAAGCGGCATGAGATGAATTCTTGATGTGCACTTGTTGCCAAACTGCTCGAGTGAAGAGTTATTAATATATCTGACATTGGGATGAGTTCACAAATCTCTATAGTGAGGCAATATCATATGACTCGCTGGCTCTGCATTCATGTCCGTTTCCCTGAAAAGCGGCACTCTGTCATTAGGCCGATCGCGCTAACTCACAGTCGATCTTCCCCGCTGTCAAACGTCACTGGCAATGAGCAGAAACGTGTGCTGTGATGATATATCAGTGGTTGAAATAAGATGTGCAAATACATTTTAAATCAGCCGCCTATGCCTTGTGGGGTTCAGGCTCCGCTTTCCGAAGTCGAAGGAACCTCCTGCATCTCGAGAGAAAGTGGGGCACAGCATGGGAGGAACTGATTATCAATGCATTCAAGAGAGGATAATTAAGCTGATACCGGAAAAGGCGGGCAGGGTTGGAGGTGGATATTTAAGCTTTGCATTGCACATCTTCAGAGGCGAAATTAAAGTTTTGGGGCCCAAATGGTCCTACTTTAGTTTTTTAATTGAGATTCTTTCAATTAAAAATATACAAAAAAAGACACTCTACTGCATCTTTCTCCGCCCATGGACAACTCCTTGGGTTGGGGAAGCGAAAAAGAAGAAAAACAGTGAGAAGTCAATACCTTTCTTCTTTGCTGCATTTTATCCTGGCATCTGGAATATCCAAGCTTTTACTGTATACTGACTTACTACGGTGAGACAGGAGACAGAGCGAGCAGACGGTGACATTAATGGTCGACATGTTTGCTAACCTGCTCTCGCACCTGCCCGGAGACCTCTAGCCTGACACCAACACACACTCACATCAAAACGTTTCCACTTCAGATTTGTGCCACAGGCAACATAAAAAGAGTGTAATCCCTGTGGCGTGGCTACGGTGAGCATTTGGCACTCGCAACCAGCAGAGTGCTGACAAGAAGCATGTCCGAATATCATTCACAAAAAAACGAACATAGTGCTTCCTCAAACAAAAAATAAAAATAAAACAACAAGGACCTCTGCGGTCTCAGATAGCTTTTCAAATCCTTACAGCTCGATTCACACTGCATGGTTCAAGGGAGACAAATGCAATTGTTTGCTCTCAAGTGGCACGACTCGGATACCAGTCATGGCAGCGTAAATGGAAAGAAACGCATGAAATCGGACACGTTCACGTCGGAATCAGTCGTCTGGATAAAAATCCGATTCGTATCAGATATCAGCCAATGTGCCTGCAGCGTGAACGCACCGATTGGATATACCTGGTCAATGTAAGTTTGATGCCACTGAAATACACATGCGCTGCAGTGATCCAAATGACACAAACTTCTTAAAAGAAACACTCGCTGTAAATGTGAGCTACAGTCAAAGCTTAGACAATTAATTATGCTCTAACTATGGTATATTACTGGTGTGTCAATTGTTAAATAAGCAGTGGTGTATTGCAGAGGTCAACTTTAGGTTTACTTGATTTAAATCAATGGAGGAAGTCAAGGCGGCCCAGTGATCCAGTGGTTAGCGCGTCGACCTCACAGTGCAGAGGTCGTGGGTTCAATTCTGGCTCCGGCCTTCCAGTGTCAAGTTTGCATGTTCTCCCTGTGCCTGCGTGGGTTTTCTCCGGGTACTCCGGTTTCCTCCCACATTCCAAAAACATGCACGGCAGGCTGATTGAACACTGTAAATTGTCACTAGGTGTGAGTGAGAGCGCGGATGGTTGTTCGTCTCTGTGTGCCCTGCGATTGGCTGGCAACCGCTTCAGGGTGTCCCCCGCCTACTGCCCGAAGACAGCTGGCATAGGCTCCACCCCCCCCCCTTTTTTTTTCCCCCGTGACCCTAGTGACGATAAAGTGGATCGGAAAATGGATGGATGGATGGATGGAGGAAGTCAAGCCAGGCCATGCAACCTTTAATATTTGATACATTTATGTAGTGTAGTATTGTTTCACATTCTAAAAAGATGCTAAATAGTCAATAGATGTGAATGTGAATGATTGTATTTGCCCTGTGATTGGCCATCACCAAGCCTCGGAGTCAGCTGCATAAGGCTCCAGCTCGCCTGGGGTCCTCATGATGATAAGCAATTATCGTCATCATATCTTACGGCACCAAACCATTGTGATGAAATAGTGTTTGCTTCCTTAAGGTCTTGATCAGAGCACTGAGGACCCCCGTTGGCATTCTTGAACGATGTGGTTCATTGTTTGTGTTTATCCACATGGATGATCAGGGCTGGTGTCGAGTCCCCATTTGTCCTTGGTTTTCCCAACCTTCGTCTTTGCTTTGTTTAGACTTACCCACTCTTCCCTGTTCAAGTTTGACCCGAGGGGCAGTATTTCATCTAGGTAAGAAAGTGCTTTGTTGTGTTGCTCGCAGTCATACTCCTTGGGTTGATTTCTTTTACGGTTATAAAACTTTTACGAGACAAAAGTTTGGAGCTCACTTCTTAGTCTCTTCCGAATAAGTGTTTGGGATCGTTTAGATGTTTGTATCCTTCAATTTTAGTGACTGTTTCTCATTGGATGTAGGGTGTGGGGGTTGAGGGGGAGGCCTGTTATACAATATACGTATTGCTGGCAAGTAACGTGGTTTGACAGCACCCGTTATTATCTGATACGCTTTGTTTAGGTGTACAACGATTTTTGTCGGAATGGGATGATGTGGCCACACAGGGGTGAAGTATTCTGCTCGGTGTTTTGGGGTCAGCACCCCAACTGATGGCGGAGGTTTGTCCGTGACGCAAGTTTTCCTTTCAGTCCGGAGACATGCTTTTGGAATGAGAGTGTTCTATTGAGCGTTACTCCCAAGTAGACTGGAAATGGGTGGTACACTCGTTGTTGCACTTTATTCTTATTTTTCTGTTGGCTTGATGGTTGTTCTAGTCGGCCTTCCCAGTTGGCCCAGCGGGAGTTAAACCTCAGTCTTTGTTGCAGTTCTTCTGGTCTGATAATATTGGTCAGCGTTGGGTTTCTGGAATATAATTCTCAGGGATTTATACGTTTTATGGGAGTGTCCAGATGAGACGAAAGCCAGGTCGGTTTGCAGCCCCGCCTCCAGTGTGGACTCTGAAATGATGTGGGCTCCTTTGTCATCATGGAGAAGTCTAAGATCTTCTGAAACAGTCCAAATGTCATTGGTCTCATTGTACACTCAGGTGGTGCTATGGCTTTTAGAGCTGCCAATATAGTCACTGTGGCACATCTGTGGCTAGGTGAATGGAGTTGTAGGTGACTTGTACACTTTGATGGTAAAATAACGCTCAGTGTCCACCTGGAGTATTTCAAAACCTCCAATGGAGGGGATCAGTGCTCGTCTTGACTCTTGATCACTGACTTGTTGCATATGGAAAATGCACTTCCATGTATGGGACTGTGGTCCTGGATGACAGGTTTCATGCCAGGTATTTTAAGGATTACGAGGTCCTTGGAGTCTCTGGGAGACAGATGATGTCAGCGTCTAGGCTGGCCATGATTTCTGATTTTGCTGCAGACATTACTTTAAAATTGAAGCTAGGACTTTGTCAAAGTCATATCACCTGGAGACAGTGCATCCTTTTTTCACCGCTGATTAATGGCCACAGTTTTGGCTTTGTGTGTGGAGTTGCAATTGCTCTCTGAAGATTAACAGGGGCACTAGGTGAAGGTTTGCTACTTTCTCCCACAACAAGCGCTTGAGAAAATGAATGGATAGATTGCACTTCAGTGTTCTCACTGCCTAGTGTCTCAACACAGCCATATCGAAAATGGGATGTGTCATTTGAAATGTAGACATTCAATTTCGGATAAAATCGGAATTGGGTACTTGGACCTGCAGTGTAAAGCCAGCTGGATTTAATTTGACATGATCCACCCTATCCACTTTGACCTAAATTACCTCAGCAATCTTGTTTCAGATCGAACAATCCTATGATGACCTGTCACAAAAACAGGTAATGCATACCGTTGACCATGCTGTGTCATGTCGATGGCCCTCCTGGCCGGCACTGGTGAACCGCCGTCTGTGACACTGAGGACCTCCATGGACTTCCTCTCTGGTCGTCGTTTGCCGTGTCGGTTCAACATTGGCGAGTCGACACGTTTCTTAGGAGGATCTGCGTGACAAACAGCAGGGACCTAGTAGTCAGGATCATCCCTCAAGTAACACCATGCACAATTAAGGGCAATGTTGGAATGATATTTAGTGCTTATGCTCACTAATGATAAGTTTTGCTTTCCTCCCAGACCTTAAACTAATGACCGGAATATTGGCTGTATCACATTCAATAAGGAGAGGCTGTATTAATCAAAATGTCACAATTTAAGAACTTGAAGCTTCCATTGCTGGAATTAGCTCAGACCCAGCCTCTTCCTCTCAAACTCAAACACAATTTATATACAGTATATATAAATTGTACATATGTGAAAGGACAAACAGACGTTTATCATATCTGTACTGCATATGAACGGACATATTGGTGTTGCTAAACCTGCTGGTGCACCTGCTAAGAGAGCTCGTTGTGTGTAATAGACAGATGATTAAATTGTGTGTCTGTGACTGAATGAACAGATATGTGCATATATGAATGAACATACATATTTACCTCATGAATGGCGGCTGTTTACATTGTATGCATATGTACAGTTAGTGGACCAACAGTCATTATACACTATCAGTCAAAAGACGATGTAAATGGACGAATAAATGTTTCAATCGTCAGCTGGACCACAGCCCCCGAAAATCACAGTGGCATGGATGGAAGCAGGAAACATGATGTAGTTATTTCTTTTTCAAGATGAGATCTATGCCAGTAAGATTTCGAAAGGAGAAAATGCTGCCCTAGTTACAAGTTTTTCTCCTGCAACAATATGTATCCAGAGTGAGTGTCTGGTGATGATAAATAAAAAAACAAAACATCTACTGTTGAGGCAATCCACCACTGTGGGATGCCAATCCCATTTCTTCAGAGGGAGGATGACAAGTGTGTCAGACAAAACCAGGAGCATTCAAAATTTAGAGTGTAGCCACAGCAATGATCTGCAAATGACAGGGTGGAAAGTAACTAACAGTCACCGTCCCCAATTCTTATTCAGTGATTTTTCTATTTGTCACACTTTTTGTCTTTTGTGTTCAAGTCTCACCAATCTCATTGCGAGGGGGAAGGTTCTGGTCCTCTTGACTGGGGTACCTCTCTTTACGGTCCAATAACAGGAAGTAGATCATCTTTTCTTGGTTGTCACTGCAAAAAGGTAAATAAAGAAGGGCTGCTGTAGATTTACTATTGGGCTGGATTTACACTGCATTTAAAGCACATGGGTCACAATTCCAACTGTGTCTCATGTGACACAATTTATATTTTTCTTATTGAAGTATTAAGAACTA